GTGTTCGTCAGACCTCTAACCATTGACCAACCTGGTATGAGAGACTCTGTGAGTGTCGCGGGACACTATCCAGTATAGCTCAATGGATCGCTGAGGTGCGCAAACCGTCACACCACGGTAAGGTCCAGTTTCTTCGTGACGGTTGGATGGAAACCAAACAGTAACGCCCAACAATAAATGGAAGCGACCAGACTTGCCATTGTTAGTGGCGACCCATATACATGGGCTCGCCTACCTACCACGGTAAGGTCCAGTTTCTTCGTGACGTGAGGTTGGAAACCAAACAGTAACGCCCAACAATAAATGGAAGCGACCAGACTTGCCATTGTTAGTGGCGACCCATATACATGGGCTTGTTCGCCTACCTTTTCGAATAAAATCGGAGCAGCGCTGGAACAGGCCCTCATATCACAGTCTATGACCTAATGTTGCGACAGATGGACATATCCAGGAGCAATGATGACCATCTGGAGTCAACAATGAACGCAAGAAGAGTGTGTAAAAACAGGGACGAGTGTGTGACTGTGAAATGGTGGCCAGTCTTTTTGAAAATTGCTGGATCATTACACAGAAATGGATTGTCAACCCTCTCTAAAAGGAGTAATCCTCCAATAAAGGTAAACATAGGAAGAGGAAAATTCGACTTCTCAATGAGAGTCACTGAAGGCTGAATAGAAGAGAGCAACGGTTCGGAACTCGCCTGGGAAAAGGCCGTTCAGCTGTGAAACCTTTTCAGTGTCTAGCTGCCATGCCATCCGAAGGAAGCACGAAGACCATGTTGACCAAACCTACACAGAAGCAGTCGATTTGCCAGGGTTGAATTCAAACTACGAACCTTCTGGTTCGCAGTGGTGGTTGCCACATCAACCACTAAGCTCTTTCCATGGAATTAGTCGCACCCGCAGAAAGTTATTAAAAACAACGTACACCAATGGCTGGGCGACATCCTACTTGGCCCCACGACTCGGTCGGTGCACTAGATACCTGTTAATAGTTAGAGGCACGCAAATAGTTTGCCCGAAGCCGATTACGGTTCAGTACGTGCGACCATTGATTCATTGACTTCAACTGTACTGACTGAATCGGACCGAAATATTGTCTCTTAAAACAAGGAAGTACATGGTTTGGGATATTTTCTATTAACGACTGAAAGAATATATGAAAAAATAGAATCGTTCAGCACTCGCTCGGTGCCTAGCTGCCATGCAACCCGAAGGGCGCGCCAGGGTTGAGATACTGCCACGTTGCCCAAGCCTAGACAGAGGAAGTCAAGAGACAGAGGTCGGGTTCGAACCACGAACCTTCCGATCAGTAAATTCGCGCTCTAACCACTTGGTCCAACTCGCTCACCAAACCGCTGTATAAACGTGTCGGCGTAAACGACAAATTGAAAATAATACATTGGAGAGAACAGAAGGACTAACTGAAGTGGTTGACGGACCAGCGTCCATGCTCCGTTGACATCGATTACAAGCCAGTGTATGAGTGTGACATCAAGTCATTACGTTTCAGCGCACCAAAAATCAACATGGAGTGTGGCATAAAATCAATGAGGGACTAGTCAGTTTCTCAAATTCTGCATTCGATGCTTCTGGATACCGAATGTAAGAAAGTGAAGCAAAACAGCCGGACCATGGAAGACATTGACCCAAAAGACTGTTCCTATGGGATAAGGACTGCAGCTGCCATATCCAGGAGTAAAACATACTCCAACTGCCTTATACCCGCTGATCTATTCACAATGCGACTTTACCATACACACACGCGACGACCTACAAATGATTTTGAAAAAAATATTGAGTGGTAGGGATTTCCGACGGAGGACCAGTTAAGCAACTAGGCAGTATGAAATTCACCCCAACGGTGTTTCTGGCCAAAATACGCTCCAGGGACAAAACAATTATGTGAAAAATCAATTGTGGGAGATTCACTTATATTGTACAGTAGCTAACGAAAAATGAAGTGCAAGGTAAGCATAAATAACCACTAAACAACAAGCAGAATCGTAGTGAAAAGTTGCTCCCTAGCTCACAAGTAAGTTGAAATCGTATCCGAAAATCACATTTGTTCAAATACCAATGATTGACTTAACCCCCAAGGATAACCCTATGGAAGGCAAAAACATATTTAAACAAGAGATATTCCCTTTAAATATGAGGAGATAAAGGAGATACCACATCGGAATGATGTACTAGAAGCTTTCACTAGCACCCACACACGGTGAATTTTAGTGCACCGCTTGAAATACGGCAAATCCGTGAGACGCATCTGAGAAACGAAATTTCAATTGCTGGGAAATGACAGATTATTTCAACCGTTTTAGGTGCCCACCATATTTCCGGAAGAGTGTACCATCTCAGAACAACCTTTTCGAAGGAAGCCACTGAGAAGAAACATTTCCACCGAGAAAAAGGTTTTAGGGGCGCAGATACTTTCCCCTAGCCGAAACCTACAAGAGCGAGAATGGATATGCTGGCTGATACCATTATGGTTACCTCACTAGCGTAGAGGGGATATGATAATGGAAACGCCTTGCGCCATTGGTTTACCTGTCTTAGTTGGCTCACACTCCAAACGGTTTGCGTCAGAGCACATAAGATCTACCAACCCACAGTCAGTGAACTTTTCAATTGGATATTGGCTCAACAAATCCGACAACTCAGCCCAGCATATGCTCACAGCACCCTTTGTTGAAACCGTTCATGGTAATACAGGTGACACAACTGGGATACGGATAATCGAATACTTATTGGGTTTCCAAGTCTTTGCAGTTACACATGAGTACACCCTAATCGTTCAGCCGCAGCACCCTTTCGGTGCCTAGCTGCCATGCCACCAGAAGGAAGCACGAGGGTTGGGATAGTGCCAGGTTAATCACGCCTAGACATGGGAATTTAAGAGGCAGAGGTCGGGTTCGGGTCACGGACCTACTGTTCAGTAGATTTGAACTCTAACCACTGAGCCATCTTAATAACAACTCATTGCATCTAGTGGCTTTCAGTCAGGTTAGGAAAAACGGAAAACGCTAAATCCTTATGGCCTACGTAATGGAGGATGACGACCACTAAATACATTCACCGTGTAAACCACGGGCATCCAAGAGCGTTATCTGAGACGGCTCAGGGGGCAAAATGGCTCAGGTGGTTAGGGCGTGAATTTACCGGCCGCAAGGTCCGTGGTTCGAACCCGACCTCTGTCTCTTGACTTCCTCTGTCTAGGCTTGGTCAACCTGGCAGTATCTCAGCCCTCGTGCTTCCTTCGAGTTTCATTGCAGCTAGGCACCGAAAGGGTGTTACAGATGAACGATTTATTTATTTTATTAACTTCAGAAAAACTCCACCCTAGTCAGGTGGGAGCTGTTGGAAATACCCAGACCCTTATAAAAGTTTATTGGCTCACTACAGAGACCATGTGGTGAAGTTATTATTGGTAACCATCTAACAAGGAAACACTAGTCGGAGAAACACGTAACAATACTCCGAATGAGAGAGGTACCCGAAAGGGGAGCACTGTAGCCCAAAAATAACCGATAAAGATTGCAACTGACGATAATCTGCATCTGCATCTAGATTCTAAGATGGGATACCACATTAAGTAATATCGATGATCCAGCTTATGTTGGAAATAAAAAGCGATTTCTTCTGCAGATAGCTGAGTAGACGAAGCTACACAGCAGTTGGATAGTAATGGAAATTCTCCTCTCATCAGTACTGTTGTATCGTGGGTGGCTGTCTATTGGTTACACCTGCATTGAGCCTGCCAGATTACGCGATAAGGAGAAGACAAGGATGACAAGGAGAAGACACGGATGTAATATCAGGACAAAACATGCGTAAATATATAGAATGGCCAAATGTGCTATTATGGCCGTTCACTTGTTCGTTCTGTACAGCCAATGGCGATGTTCCAGTCGTGAATATTTTCAGCCCCACCCCAACGGTCGTATTTTGGTAAACTGTGTTTTGTGGGCTCCACTAACGCACATGCTACCTGAAACGTGATACCGATGACGACCTCGGGGACGCGTCATTCTCTGCACACGTGCTTTTCATGTCTGGGAGCGTCGGGGCGCAAGGAAAACGGGG